GAGAGAGAGAGAGAGAGAGAGAGAGAGAGAGAGAGAGAGAGAGAGAGAGAGGAGAGAGAGTTGCTGAAGCTCATACAGTTATAGCACCTGCTTCTTCCTTCTGTCTAGATCCTTGATCTATCTTACCTAGGTCTGTTATTCAAATTTCTAAAAGTTCTTTGAATAAAAATCTGGGGCCAGATATTGGTGTGAATGCTGAAAGATCAGAGAGACAAAGGAACAAGCCACCTCTTACCTCTAGGACTCCTCAGCCTGAAAAGCCTCTAGGTCTATCTCCTCACACTTTATATACCTTTCTCTGTCCACCCATCACTTCCTGGAATTAAAGACATGTGTGCTTCCCAAGCAAAGGCATGAGATCTCAAATGCTAGGATTAAAGGTGTATGATTCCTAAGTACTGGGATTAAAGGTATGTGCCACCACTGCCTGGCATCTATGTTTAATCTAGTGACTTGTTCTGTCCTTTTATCTTCAAACAAATTTTATTAGGGTACACAATATATCACCACATTTTTCCTTTTTTTTTTTGTCTAAAATAATAAAAGGTTATAGCTAATATAAGAAAAACTATATACAATAACTATAATAAGTATATACAATAACTATATACACAGTCAAGATTACATTAACAATGTCCAGTCCATAAACATTGGACAGATTCAGAGAAAATACTCCATTATTTATTCTATTTTGGTGAGTCCAAAATGTTGTATCTAATTCACATTCTATCCTAAATTGCATTACCAACCGAAAACTATCTTTTGATGTCTTTTAAACTTCACACCTCTTTAGTGAGTTTCTTTTCTGAATTTGTTAACAATGAAAACTATAACTATCTAGTCTTCAACTTCATGCGAGACCTGAGAAGGAAATAATGTTAACCAAGCAAGCAGGAAGTGCAAACAAGCAACTTCCAAAAAGTGTGAGAATTGACAGAAACAGCTGGCTGCCTGGACAGTCACCCAAGGTTCCTCTGCAACATTGGGGCATCCATCTTTGGCCTACAGGCCTAGCATATCTAACAGATTTTTCTGTGAAGCAGGATTTTCTGAAGGACTGTCCTACTTTATGTTGGCAAAGTTTGGCAGTCCTTTCTTTTGTGTCCTGCTTGTCTCATTGGACTGTATACTGTCAGCAGTCAAGGCAAGAGCATTTTCTTGCCTAGTGGCTAATTTTGCCACAAAGAAAATAAACTCCATATGGAGTTTCTTTGATGCCCATCATCTTCTCTGAAGTAAATTGGTGCTGCCAGGAGCAGACATGTCTCATTGTCATTAAAAAAATTTCTTAAGTGCCATATTCTGTAGATCTCTGAGGTGTTTAAAGATGACCTCTCTATCTAAAATATAGCTCAAAAATATAGTTTTGACCTTGAAGACATACCTAACCTGACTACAAGTTTGATTGTAATAGGTAACTAACTACTAACCTGCATTTCTTTATATCCTAATTAGTTGGTATCAATAACTTTCAAGGACTAGCAATTTGCATTACATTGTTAAATGAACTGTATAGGTACAATACCTTAAACAAGATTAGAAACTTATGTACAATATGTTCTGACAAAAATAATCTCAAATTTGTATCAATATACAAAATTTGTATACAATATACAAAAAATCCAATCCAATGTAAAATATTTAAAACTAGGAGTTGTTTTTTAAAAGTAGATTTATAATCTATCATTTTATTTTATTATATCCATGTTCTTCCCTTTTTCTTTTCAGAGTAGATTCAATAATCTACCCTTCTATCCTATTATTTTTATCCCTCATTTTTTTTTCAGAGTAGATTCAATAATCTACCTTTTATCTTATCATTCCTGTATAATACATTTCTATATTATAGGTCTATCCTGAGAAATTGGGAAATGATACATTATAAAACAGGCTCATCCAGTAAAGGAAAACCATTCATCCAGTAGGTACATGGGGGCATAAGCAGTTCTCAGTGTGTAACAAGGGTGTTAATGATACTGGGCATCTTTCTTTTTATTTCTTTAAAAGATTTTTAAGTCCAAGAGTAGGGGTGGGGAAGAGCATTCCATCTTGGAAAGCACTGAGTACAACAAACAGCATTTTATACTATCAGGTGTATTGAAAGGGTGTTTTCAGTTAACTAAACAGCTCAAGTACCTAAAAACAAAACAAAACACCTCTTAACCCCATTTTCCAACCCCCACTCATGAACTTGAAAATATTTTATGGAAAATGCTTTAAAGGTTTCTATGATTTATAAAATATGTACATTTTAGGATATTTCATGGTATGTACTTGAGGGTCTAGCAATGGCCTGTAATCTCACTAACAATTGTGCATTTTAATTTTTTCTATCATGTGTAAATGTGATGTTTTTACATCTTTTGGGATCCATTATGATCACTCAAATCAAGCATTTTTGACAATTGAATGTGTGATAATCGAGTCAGGACAGTAAACATTACCATCTCCTTAACTATCAATCAGATTTACATGTTGGAAATTTCATACCATTTTAGGCATCTTGAGACATAGATTATTTTATCTGATAATTATCCTATTGTGTTACAGAAGAACCGGAAGTAATCCCTCCCTGTTATGCATTGGTTCCCCTTATTAAGCTTCTTACCACCTCTCAGCCCCGCCCTTCCTAGCCTTTAGTGGGCAACATTCCACTCCATTCTTTTACAAGACTGTCTTATTTCCAAACATGAGTGAAAGCATATGGTATTTGTCTTTGTGTGCCTGGCTTATTTCACATAACATAATAACTCTCATTTCTACTCATGTGGCTGCAAATGACAAGTTTTCATTCTTCCCATGATTGAGCAATATTCCATTGTGTAAATAAACCCATTCTATCTCTCCATGCATTTATGGAAAGGCATCTGAGCTGCTCACTTATTTTAGCTAGGAATTCTACTGTAATAAATGTGGGAGTGAAAGCATCCTCTTGATCCAGTGACTTCATTTCCTTTAGATACATATCTTGTAGTAGAATTGCCGGTTTCTATGACAGCCTGTAGCTTTTTTTTATTTATTGAATTTCTGTAATGTTTTCAGTATTAGTTACACTAATTTATATTCCTATCAGCAGTATATAAGAGTTACCTTTTCTCTGCATGCTTTTGCTTTATTGTTTTGCCTTTTTGTCATATCAGTTCTAACCAGGATGAGATGATAGTTCACTATGGTTTTGATTGTATTGTCTCTTTCTCCATACACAGATGCTTACCCATTTTCTTCATCCATATCCTCACATCTGGCTGAGGCACTGCACTTATGTATGACATAATTTAGCCCCCCCATCTCCAAGAATCCTTTGCAGTGTTCACGGTCCTCTCATCACTGGCTGATATCTAGCGTCATCTCTTTTCCCACTGCACAGGCATCTTTTACTCCTAGCATTGCATGCTGCCTTGGGTAACCAGGGAAACAGCATGGTCATCCGGGAGCCCTAAAGAGAGGTTTGAAGTTCTTTCAATTTCACTTATTCATTCATTTACTTTTATTTTATGTGTATAGGTGTTTTGTCTGCATGCATGTCTGTGCATCATGTGCATTTGGTGCTCATGAAGACCAGAAGAGGGCACTGGATCTCCTGTGGCTGGAGTTAAAGAAGGTGTTAAACCACCATATGGGTGCTGGGAATAGAATCCAGGTCCTCTGAAAGAGCAGCCAGGGCTCTTAGCCACTGAACTGTCTCTCCAGCTCCTGTCAGGAGTTCTTGTTCAGGAATGTAAGGTAATATCCTCCATTGGGATGGAATACCGAGTGTATGAGTTTAAACAGGGAGAGAAAAAGATGGGTAAGGAATTAAGTACGCACAAGCAAGAGACTATAAATATTGACTGTGGTTTTTAAGCAGTTAAGAAATGAGAAAGACATCGTATGTAGCACAGGGAGGGGTTAGAGTGTTGGCTAATTTTATGTCAACCTGACACAATCTAGAGTCATTTGAGAGGAGGGAACGAACCTCAATTGAGAAAATGTCTCCATTAGATTGGGCTGTAGGCAAGCATATAGGGCGCTTTCCTAATTAAAAATGGCGGTGGAGGGCCCAGCCCACTGTGGGTGGGGCCACCCATGGCCTGGTGGTCCTGGGTTCTATAACAAAGCAGACTGAGCAAGTCATGA